TGATGAAAATTGAATTCATATAACCAAAAAAAATTCAGATATAGAATAGAAGACCATATCATTTAAATAAAAAAATTAATTCATGAAACAAGTGGCGAAAAAAAACTAAAATAAATTTTAAAAAGTTATTGATACATTATATATACAATCTACACAACCATGATGATAAAGCGGGGTTCTTGTGTGCATTTATGAAAAATATATAAGTACATGGCTGCAAATGATAACAAGAATATAAGACATGAGTTAACAATTAGGAACACCTTACATAGAGTGTTTATATGCATATACATAATGTAATATCGCTAGAGATAATTAATTAAAATATTGCGTATACGCGTAAAAATGAACTGTAAATATTACATTGTTGTCAGTTGAATGTTACAATAAATACCGTACGTGGAAAATCTTCATTTTTTAAATTTCACTGATCCTCTATTATTTCTTGGTATTTTTATTTACAGGTAATTTTACTACACAAAATTAGTATCTCGTATATAAAGGTTAAAACAAGTCAATAAATGACATAATTTTCAGTAACAAATTTATTAAAGACTAACATTTTTCGGTCTCATTTGACAATAACTTCGAAAAGTACCCATGATTATTCTGCAATAAAACTTGAGGCTGGTCGTACTCGACTACTCTGCCGTTATCCATGACGAGGACCTTGTCCACATCCTTGATCGCGTTCAACCTGTGGGATATCATCAGGACAGTGCAATCCTTGAATTTCTCTCTGATGGTCTTCCGAATGAGCGCGTCGGTGTTGTCGTCAATGTTTGCCGTGACTTCGTCGAGCACCACAATTTTCCTCCTCTGGAGAATGACTCGGGCCAGGCACACCAACTGCCGCTGACCGGCGCTCAACTGGTCCACCGTCGCGTCCAGAGACGCAAAGGCTTTGTGCAGCTCAACGTCCCGCAAAGTGGACCAGAGAACCGCGTCGTCCAACTCCTGCAAAGGGTCCAGATTCTTCCTCAAAGTGACGGGAAACAGCACCGGTTCTTGGGGGAGTATCGAGATCTTGTTGCGCAAGTGCCTGAGCCCAACCGCCCGTGTGTCCACGCTGTCGATGGCTATGGAACCCTCGACTCTGGCCAAACGGAACAATGCCGATACCAGAGATGACTTTCCCGATCCCGTTCGGCCAATGATAAGAACCTGCAAAAAGTACATCATTACCTCCACGTTGTTTGGACCATTTTTAGAAATTACTCATCTGATTACCTTATCCCCTGCTTCAATGGTAAAGTTCAAATTTTTCAAAATGATCGTGTCGCTTTGGTAGTACCGAAGGGATACATCTTTAAATTCAATTGCTCCTTCGTGTGGCCAGGAAACGGGTGGTGGTGGCTGGTGAGCTTCATGCTGATCTTCTCGTTCAATTTCGGTGTATTGAAATAATCTCTCGGTCGAAACCATGAAAGTGTCCAAGTCTCCGGTTAACTTGATCCCTCTAGCCATTATTCCAGTGAGAGTTATCAGTTGCGTGATGGCGAGGCCCACGTCAGCGCCACTGCTTTGGTCGTTTTTCAAAAGCAACAGGCCATAAACCACGACGCTCATGAATGACAAAGTTACGCAGTCCAACCAAAAACTGTAAGCTATGAGGGAGTACTGGCAAAGTCCTGCGGCAGCTGTATGATTGTCTTGAAGGTCATCGAAATTTTTCGTGACCACCGATTGAGCCTGACACGCGCGAATCGTCGATCTACCAGCAAGAGTTGAATTAACGTGGTAGAAAACTGGACTCTTGGCTAAAAAATTCAAGTGTTTCCTACCGTTAAAGATACATTATTTTTTACCTTGTCACTTGAAGGTGAATAATTGAAGCTTACTTTCTCCGTCTAGTCTCATGATGTCTTTCGTAGTTTTAATGACGACTGTCCTCCCTTTGTAAAATATATATCCCATGAAGAAGACGAATATGACGGACAAGTAGTTGATGATGATGATTTGCGTTATTATCCCAATGATGACGAAAAAGTACTCAGCGGCTTCGACTATAAGGGCTCGTAATCTTTCGTCCACGGAGCCCATGTCTTTCGAAAATCTATTGAGAATTCTGCCTGTGACATATTTTCAGTTAACATTATACGTGAAATTAAGGTTTTTTGACTCAGAAAAAACGCACTCGCTATATTACCAGAATCGTTTTCTTCGAAAAATATGACTTTTGCTCTTAGCAAAGACGTAGTCATTAGGCGATGAATGTTTTCGTTGCATTTATTCAAAACAATGGTACACAGAGACGTTTTTGCTATGCACATTACGATGATGGACAACGTGAAAAATGCAAGAATGAAAGTGACATTTTGCGGACACAAGAATTCCGACTCTTTCGAACTGTTAATTTGAGATACGTATGAACTATTGGAGTTTGAATCATTGCTATGAAAATACAAAGCGTTTCGGTGCAAATTGGAATCCTCATGGGTGTACACCGTTTGATGCTTGGACCTGAAAAAATAAAATAATATTAGTCTTGAATATGTTCGAAAATTTTCACGATCGTTTGAAAAAATGTATTTTATAGGATCCGAACCAATAGGCCACAAAGTAATCCGAACCACTTATCAACAGTTGAGCAAATGCGAAGACCATGAATGTGAAAAAAGGTAACGCATAGGAACCGCAAGAAGTGAAATATTTCCAATACAAGCATTTTCGTAGCTTCATCTCGTGTTCTTTTTCGCAATTAACGCTTTTTTGGGGGCTAATTACTTGTTCCTTGATACACAATAATTTGTGCGTTTCTTCGAAACAACCGTTTTCGTCATCTTTGATGACATTTTTTATTTGACCCAAACAGCCATTTTCGTTCGACTTCAACCTTTCGGAATTCGGATCGACTAAATTATCATCGATGTTCAAATAATTTGAAAGATTCTCAGTCTTCTGGAAATCAGTGAAGTTTCCTTGATATTTTACGCATCCCTAAAAATGGTAAATGGCTTTTTTAAATTCCATTTAAATTGATGATTTTTTTTTCGTCTCACCTACCTTATCCATAACGATGATTTCATCCGATTCCTTCAAAAACTGCACTTGATGCGTAATCAACACCCGAGTCTTATTTGCCAATAATCCATTGATACAATCCTCCAACAGTCGTTTGCCTACTCTGCCGTCAACAGCCGACAAAGGGTCGTCCAACAAGTAAACATCGGCGTCTCTGTAAACTGCTCTGCACAGGAAAAGTACACCGTTAAGGAATAAAAATGTCTCCATCTCTTCAGTCCAGATTTTTGGGTACCTGGCCAAGTTGACTCTAGTGCATTGCCCACCACTGAGGGTCGCCCCGCTTTCCCCAACTACGGTTCCGTCTCCTCGAGCCAATTGCTTCAAGTCCTCCGACAGAGCACACGCTTCCACGACCCTCCGGTACTTGTCCGCATCGTATACACCGCCAAATATGATGTTTTCCCTGATGGTTCCCTTGAAAAGCCATGGCTCCTGACTCGCGTACGACACGTCCCCAAACACGCGAATCCCACCTTTCGACGGTCGCGCTTCGTCCAACAACAGTTTCAGGAGTAAACTCTGGAGTAAGGCGTAAGGCAACGGAAAAAAAACAAAAAAAACAAAAAAAGTTCCTTTCAAGAAAAAATGGATAAGCCAAACAGATCATAGAAGCAACTACAATATCTCACCAAACTACCTTTCCTGCGCCAACGGCTCCCACGATGGCGGTCAATGATCTCCGTTTCACATTGATGCTGATATCATGCAAGACATCAATCTTGGGATCCTCAACCGAGGCAACGCTTACATCTTTGATCGCAACTATTGACTCCTCCTTTTCTGATTGCAAATATTGTACACTAGAGGTTCGCTCCTCGAGAACCAAAAATTCCTGGTTAAATATTCGTTTACGCGTTAGTTCTGATCTTCAAAACAGTAAAAATGATAATTTTGTACCTTTATTCTTTTCATTGCAGCTAAACCTTCCGAAGTGAGCGTAACACTTCGCAAAAAGGACGAACCTATTAGTATGTGCAGCGAGTTGAAGTATATTATCAGTATAAACATCGTGTTAGCCGGAAGTGCGTTTCCCAAAAGCACGTAGACAATAATTGTAACGTATAATGGCAAGCGTTTAGAGAAGGACGATACGGCGAACAAGAAGTTTTTCAAATGGGAGGCATTGGAAATCACGTCCATCTCGAATCTGAAACTCGTTGAATCGTCAACGTAACAACTATCGTTAGAATTTTTTTTTATTGCATCGGAATGTATTGTATTTCTTTGGAAATTCATATATGAGCACATTTTCAGACAAACTATTGTAATTAAAATGTCATGTATCATGTGTTAAAAAAATTCAAGTTAAGCTAAAAATGACTGCGATACACAACTTTTGTTTATTAAAAAATAATGATTCATCTTTTTATAATTGAATCAAACGTTTGGAGACTACCAAATGCGGTAATTTTAAACTCTATATCTTAATTTAAAATGTTTTTAATGTTTTGCTGATTCAAATTCTCGAAAAAAAAATTTTTTAAGTAGCACTTTATTCACAAAAATGTTTTATTTCAACTAAAAAAAGGTTGATAAACCATACTAAGTTGTGAATTTCATCCATTAGATATTCAAAATGTAGTAAACCCACGAAATTTCTCGTAATTACGCGAACAAAAAATTGTTTTAAACACGCTAATATACGCGTTTCAATTTAGCATTTTTTTTTTTTTTCTTTTACCTTCTGGCGAGAAAAACTAGCTGCTCGAAGGGCTTCTCCCACGTGTACATCTTGATGACGCGAATCCCACGCACGACCTCGCCCAACAGCATCACCCGGTCGTCCGTTTTCGTCGCCACTTTTCTGCGAAATCGGTACATCACTCTGCCACTAAGCACTAAAATTTATCGTCACATTTATCAATTTCCTCCCAATTATACTTAAAGTTAAACCCATGAAAAACGAAGTTTCTCATAATCACCAAACACCGGAATGGTGAGGCTCATCAGAAGACCAATGCCTGCCAAGGACGCGACTCCCACGTGGTGCCAAATCAGACATACGAACAGAGCCGTTTGTAGGGGAAACACCCACAGCGAGTGAAGAAACAAGAAAAATTGCTCCAATCTAGCCGCATCGTTTGACAGCAGATTGATTATGCGTCCACCGTGCTCTTGTTGCTCGGCATGTGACATTTTCAATATCTGTGCCATTGCATGGTGTAATTTATCACGTCAAGTTAAATATTGCCATAATCACACAAGATTGCGGCTAAACAACGAATACTTGCGATTACCTTTCGGTAAATAAGCGAGGTGCAGGCTACCCTGGCGCTCATGCCGATGCTCCGAGTGTTCATGAACATATGGTTGTATATAATTTGGTTAACGATTGCATTTGCGATAAAAATCGTTGCGTGGATGTAAACCAGATTTGTACTTGTGGGTGATTTTTGGTCGTAATGCCAAATAAGAAGACCCACAACTGTTGGCTCAATCGTCCTGGAATAATAAAGTGGTTCTAGACAACCATTAAAAATTAAATAGAAACGAAGAAAGTGAGGGTTCAACTGGAGGTGCTTACGGGCAAAAAAAGTGTACAAAAATCACGTGACACGTGTTACTGAAAAATCTCCACCTGAATGTTTTCCAAAGTGCTCGAAAGAAGTTGGCTTCTTTGCTACTCTTGGTTGCATTTTCCAACTCTATCGTCCAGTTTCTATTTTGCAATAAAACATCCGTTAATTATTATTTAAATTGAAAAAGTTTCATCGGGAATATATGTTCATAAGTGGGTGATCGAAACAGTTCAAGGGAGAGGATCATATATGAACCGAGTTTAGTTTACCTTTTAAACGAAATAATGGTGATGGTATTTAAATTGTGTTGGATGATAAAATGATGAGTGAAATAATGAAAATTAATTTACTTTTCTAAAGCATTGGTGTTCGTTTCGCTGAGATTTTCCGGTAAGACTTGATAGAGATCTTCCGTCTCTATGCTCCCGCTCTTTTTTCCCACAGCAAATATTGGCCACAACCACCTGTAAATTATACGTGCGTATTGTTGAGCAGAAACTTATGTCTTCCGATTTTTTTCAAGAAGAACATGAGATAAACACAATACATGCACGCGATAAAAATTGTGTCACTATAAAAAAAGTAGCAAAAATGAATACTTTACAGTGATACTTTTTGCATCGCAATTTTGTGCGAGTACACGCTCTCTTATCTTCAAAGATTAAATTGTGTAAGAGAAACAGACTAAAAAAAACAGTCGTACACGTCTGAGATGATATCAAATTTTTGTAGGAAATAGTTTTTAGAAAATAAATGTGCAAATGATTAACGAACCAAAAGAAGACTTTGCCGAAAATATTGGCGCTAAGCTTGGGATTGGGTCTGTGTTTCCTTCTACTTTTATCCATCAGTCACTTTTTAAAACATATAATTTAAAAAATCGACGAACAAACGAAAAACACTGGCTGAAATTTAATCGAGGTACAACTAAAAAAATTTTTAGAGAAACCCACGACGGCTCTCAATGTTACTGCAATGGAGCCGATACTATGTATCCGAATTGTAGCGTACGACTGACATTGTTTAAGTTTAGAGTCTTTAAGATAAAACAGTAAAAGAGTGATAATTATTGGCACGACGCTTCTTCTTTTTTTTTGCTGTTACACTTTTTTTGTAAAATCAATCTATTCCAGATATTTTCTTATCAAATCATAAAAAAATCTTCAATTTTCAACAACTTATTTGTAACAATATCCATCTCACATATTTAATTTGTTTCTAAATTATATAAAATATTTTTTTGTTGAAAGTTTTATGATTTTCGGGAGAGTTTGTAACATGAAATATACGATGATAAAATATCTTACTTTCAAAACAAAAAAAAAAACCCGAACAAAAACTTGTCGTTTAAATTAAAGTTTTATTTCGAAGCAGTGACGCGTATTCAAAAATAAAAATTCAATCCTGGTTTTATCGAAAATTGTCACTGCGATCGTAAAATATAACTGTTTGTATATATATTATGCCTAGTTACACTAACACACACCCATAGACTTAATTCTTTTTTACTTATAATACTTTTTTTTAAAGAAAACTTCATCATTTTTCAATTTTTCTATCATAAAATATCCGCAAACTAGAAGTTAATAAATAAATAGAGTTTTCAAAATTAATAAAATAAAAAAAAAAAAAAAAAAAAAAAAAAAAAAAAAAAAAAAAAA